GAGCGCACCCAATGATTACAAGAGAGACATAAATATAAATAATCTGAAATATTAAAATTATTCTCTGTAAAAAAATAACCTTCAACTGTTAAGTTGAAGGTTATGTTAGGTTGAAGGTGTCATGCTAAGCATGACACCAACTTTGACAAAGTGAAATTCCACACAAGATTAAAAAAAGCCCCAGATTACCAGTGATGAGTGATTTCATATTTCTCTGTAATCTAACAGGTAACCCCAGTAGTTCTGTTTGGCTCAGTAACAGACAGCCATCTAATGAGTAGGCCATAGTGAGYTCAGTTGGCTCTGTAGTGTAAATAAGGTGAATAATTAGGTGCCTTTAAATGGGCTAACTGCTGAGGCAAATGGGTCCTCTCTCCTATCTCACTCCTGCTTCAATATCTCAGTCCATCCATGCTAATTCTTCTATTGGCAAATATGAGCAGAACAGCACTGCATCAAACACACAGCACACTCAATTCACAATTCACATCATTTTATTGATCAGTGAAGCAGGACACAGTTCAATGGGTTTTTAATGAAATTGTTCTGTTTTTAAACCTGCTATAGTCACTGTGAGCTTTATTGTKCTGTGTCAATGCTAGGGGTGTAACAATACATCAATCCACATTGATATATTAATTAAATGATCAATGATTCAATTAAGTTGAGGCAAAATGAAAACATTGATCCATACTGTCATCATATGCTCAATGTAGATTGATTCATGTCTATTTAGATATGCATCACACCATATCAATCACAGACTTGTGAATTAAACTGAATTGAAAACATACCAGATGTGTGATAGAGAAACATTGTATCAACATCTAAACAAATCAATAATATACCATATCGAGATAAAGCTGGTGATTTATACCCGTGGTCAATATGTGACAACAGTCTGAGAAACATCATTCACAAAGAGCAAATGCTAAATTCTGAGTGAAGCTGTGTGAAACAGCTAATGGCTGTCAGTGCTCTGTATTACTGAGGTGGATTTTTTATACAGGTTAAAATCTTCACTCTTTGCTCTGACCCATGCTTAAAGTGGGTCGGTATTCACTGACCCACTTTAAAGTTGACCGCTTGCAATCGAGTCATGAAACAGATATAAAGTGGAAGGTGTAAACTGGGTCAATGATTGATACAATAACAATGTTTTGTAACAACAAATCTTACTTAAAATGGTGACTTACAACATATTTGTATTATTCGACATTAAAAAAAGAAACAAGCTAGGTCTGTGCACTGGCATGAATTTGGTGATATAACAATTAGATGTTATATCTTTATATATATACACACACACACACACACACACACACACACACACACACACACACACACACACAC